TGTTTTTTAAGACGACATCCAGTTTTTCTTTTCTTTTTTTTTTTGAGTTTGCGTTTTGTTTATAGATTTTGTACCCATTCCTCTTCCTTTTTGGACATTTCCCCTCTTTTTTTGTTTGATTTTTGAAAGAAACCATTTCTACCCATCCGTAGAACCGGCGTCGAAAAAAGCTGATGCGGCAGCACGCGAAGCGGCCGTCGGGGGGCTCGGGGCACAAGAGCAGCACCCTGCTGGACAACAACCACCACCACGGCGGCCACGGCGGCCACGGCCAGTCGCCCAGCCCGCCCTCGTCGCGCAAGAGCTCCAAGGAGCAGCCGCTGCAGCCGTGCCTGTCGCACGGGCTGAGCCACGGCATGAGCCACCCGCACCACCACAACCTGCGGGTGCAGCTGCCGCCGCCGCTGGCGTGCAAGGACATCCCGGAGTCGCCCGTCTGAAGTCCACCGTGTGCCAACGCACGGATCATTTTTGAGTTACTTCGAACTTTTTGTGCGGAGGAATGAACAAAAGACACGGTGCCACCACCGTAGGCGAAAAATAACTTTATTTTTTCAAAAAAAAAATCCCTGACTTTTCCATGAAGGCTTGAGAAGTTAAGGTAATTTTGGGAGGTTACTTCTGTGTGCATTTTCGATTTGTTTTTGTGCTGCCAATTGAACTGCCGTGTCGGTTGAACCTGAGGAAAGTGTTCGGTTCGTGTCATCCGGCAAAGTGTGGGAGAGAGAGCAAATGAGTGAGAAAGAGATTATGTGTACATATTGTATGAATGACGATGTATATCATAGTAAGTTATTTTCCTAAACGTTGCTTGATTTTAAAAGATACATTCGTAGTTTTGTTGCATGTCCTTGGGACCAATTCCAAAAATATTTGTGTCAAATGTACTTTACCAGTAAAAAAATGGAATGTACAACAAAGCTGCTTTCTATTTCTCTCTATTCCAACTCTTGAGGCATTTTGGTTAAATTTTCGATTAAATTTAGCATTAAAAATAAAATGTTGTTCGTTTTAGACCATTTAATTCTGTGCGACACTTTTGTAGCCTGTGTAACCAATCTTTCATCGTACTCGGCAGGTCGCTACGACGCTACACCCCTTTCCGATATAAAAAAACAGACTCCTGTCTCCAAATTGATGTTTTAACTGAAGGTTGCTCGACCATTTGGAGCATTACGTTTTAACGCTTTGATGTTTAAATTTAAATATATATACATACAAACACAGCAAAAAGTGTCTTCTATGAATGTTAGACGATTTGAGCGCCAAGTTTTTTCTTTGCCCGAGCTCTGTGCTCGGGTGCTCAGGGCGGGCCGCTTGCACAGCTGCTTTTGGCCGGCTTTCCAACCCATCGGGTATCTTTTCTTGTAACAGAATTATAAGAAATGATCTCTTATCTTCTGCACTAACCTTTGCGACCATCTGCTAGTATGAGTAGTGGTTCTTTCTAGTTATATCTCGACTTTCTTCCTCAAGAAATTGAACGGTGTCGTCGTTGCGGATGGAACTGCCACTTGTCACATAGCCCATCAATCATTTTAGTTATCAGTTCCTTTTAAGTAATAAGGGAAATAGCATTTTTGATAAGAGGAGTGTTTTTTCGTGATTAAGCTGTCAGCCCACACTCATTTAAATCTGACGAATAGATACAATCGAAACCAGTAGCACCCTGACCAGTACCCGTGACGGAACAACCCAGCATACTGCACAGATGGCGGGTGAGTTTGAAATAAGCGTTTTGGAATACATTTGACGACGCACGAGCTAAAGTTACAGGCTTCCAGATATTCTGATACGTCTCCAGAAAATGTTTCATTATTAGTCCCTTAAAGTTTTGCGGAGAAATATTTCAAAAAACCGTATCGCTCAGCAAAATTCACATTGGTGTTGGCGCTCTGCCTGTGCGCCTGCGCTGTCCTCGCCGTCCCGTACACCAAGCCCACCGACATCCCGGACACCATTCCACGGTCATGCGCTGACAGGCCTGCGGCCAACGACTACCTCATGGTGCCCAGCCCCGAAACCTGCACTAAGTACGCTAAACTATTTCACTATACCCCTACCAATAACCCACCGTGCCGACTGAGAATAATGCTATTCATCGATTCTCTTTGACAGATTTATCGTGTGCGACGGAGACAGGGAGACAGAGTTCGACTGCCCCTCGGGCTTGTATTTCAGTTACGCCAAGCAGTACTGCGATTTACCTGAAGCTAGCGACTGTTCTGACCCAACTCCATCACCTGACGACGAGTGATAATGTTTCTTATTTCAACGAAACTCTTCCCTGGTGATAAAGATGCGAAATACATAACTCACTCCGTGTGCTGTACGACTTTGTTGCCCTCTGGTCTGCCTTGAAGTAACGTGTTCGATTTTTCAGGAGACATTAGTTGGCAAAGGGGGTGTTTTGGGATTGCAGGTTGAATAATAGATGAGATCTTTTGGGGTATATCACATATCATTTCATTATAATTAATACCGCATTCATTGCTCATTTGATTAAATAATTAACACTAAATACAAAACAGAAGAAGAATTAAACCGAGGATGATTTAGTCATTTATGGTATAACGATTTTGTTCGAATTCCGGAGGTTAACAAAAGTAAAAAAGGGCATAAAGTTACATTTCAAAAAGATCCCTCACAGCATAGCACCATAACAAATATTCCTATATTTATAGGGACTGGTACTTTAATCAGAGGGTTCCAGCAATTGCTTAAAGTATCCTGCCACGTCTTTCGGCAGCGAAAATCACAAAACGTCTGTAATGGAAAATCGTAAATTTTTACCCTTCTTTTACCACTGAACAACGGGTATAATTTTCCTATTGGTGTACTTAATCTAAATGTCCAACTACAGTAATCATCGGATTCAACGAAGGCACTCTCCAAATGATTCTTGCAAACGAACACAAATACTGAATACGACTCAATTAGAGCCTTTCTATTGGTCACTGGACGTTTTACGTCTCTGTCCTCCGAATGTTTTATATTTCAAAGTAAATCTCAAATTCACGAGATGGTTAAGCTATCGTGTGGTTTCGCCGTCTCTCAAATGCCTTTAAGATTCCTTTTCCACAAACGTCGGATTTTTTTCGACAGAGTATGTGAGAATACTCGACCACTCTTTGTCCCCAAAAGAGTGGCCTCACAGCCGATAGAGTAATAATTATTAATCTTACGGTTTGGCGCGCGGGACGAGGCCAGCTCGTCCTCCGCGCGAACCCCGAGGCGGCCGCCGACTCGATGGCATCCCGCCGCATGGCGAGCGCCGCGCGGCGGGCTCCCAGCGAGATTGAGAAGAGGTCCCGGTCTCCGCCGATCACTGCGCAGCCGGCCCTCACTCGCCCCGGCACTCCGCGTCCCAGTTGTCGGGGATGACGTCCGCCGTCAGCTGGATGAACCGGTGCAGCGGGCAGAAGTGCTCGCACTCGGGCATGGTCAGCGGGTGCACGTCGTCCGTCGTGGTGGAGTTCCTCATGTACATCTGCGGGCGGAAAGGAGGTGTTCAAGTAACCTGCGTTTGCCGCGCGGCCCAAAGGCGCTGACGTGAGCGCCTCGCGAGTAGGCAGCCCATTCGACACGCTGCCGTTGCCCGGCGAGCGACCCCCCCCCCTTCCCGTCCCCTGAACACACATCACTCCAATCCAAATTGCTGTTTTCGCATGTAGCGCTGCAGTGCGGCCCTCCGCTGCTGTAATTCCGGGGTATTCGAACAACATACGTCGCTGAGCTCGACCTTGACTCACCTGGATGCCGACCTGGCCGGCGCGCCGCCGCACCTCCAGGATGACGGCCATGCCGTACGGCGGCAGCGTGTTGTCCCAGACCTGCAGCGCGCGCAGCATGGCCGACACGTTGTTGTCGTGCACGGCGTACATGTAGAGCTTGCGCTCGGCCGGACGCAGCAGGCTGCGGGACTTGGCCACCGAGTGGCGCAGCATGCGCTTGAGCAGCGGACCTGCGGACAGCGACGGGGGACAGTGCGGGTCAGCGGGGAGGACAGCGAAGAGGACAGTATAGTCGCCTCTCTGTAAGGAGTAACCTGGCGAGCGCAGGGATCGGAGCCGATCGGAACACGAGTTTTCGTAAATGTGTCAGTAGTGCACTTCCCTTTTAAAA